TTCTCACTTTGGCATCAGAGCGTCTTGCAGGTACACCCCCGTCCTCTTCTCCACCACCAGCGAACTAGGAGCTCACGACGCGTTGCTGACCACTGATCTCTTTCTGGTCCGGTAAGATCGATTATTAAGAAATATTGGCCAAGTGCGAGATTGTTGAAATATTTTAATAATTCAGTATTTCAATAATTATGTTGCCACATATATTTATTTAGTTGTATTATCTATTTTATCAAATAAAGTGCCTAAAATAATTAAGTGATCAAATAACATTAAAAGACTATTTAGTTTTCATTTAGAAATTATTTAATTAAATATTTTATATGAGCTCAAATATGAGTGGATGTCAGGATGACCCATTTGGGAATAATGAGAATTCTAATTGACTGCCACACTATATATAGGCTATAGTCCCCAATACATCGTACATAAGCAAATTATCTCTTCTTGCCCATCTGAAGAGAGTTCTAGGCATAAGGAGTATCGGTTGAGGAAGAACCACAAAAGCATCAACTTCTAGGTTTAAGGATTACTGTCAAAGTGATTTTTCTCAATGGATCCAAGTATTCTAAAATCAATTTATCAATCCTTTAATTTTGTACATGTTTGATTTTCATACCTAAATTATATATTATAATTTCTTGACATGTATATTTTGATTAATCGTTATATATATATATATATATATATATATATATATATATATATGTATATGTATATATATATGTATATATATATATATATATATATATATATGTATATATGTATATATATATATATATATATATATATATATATATATGTATATATGTATATATATATATATATATATATATATGTATATATGTATATATATATATATATATATATATATATATATATATATATATATATATATATATATATATATATATATATATATATATATATATATATATATATATATATATATACATATATATATATATATATATATATATATATATATATATACATATATATATATATATATATATATATATATATATATATATATATATATATATATATACATATATATATATATATATACACACATATATATATATATATACATATATATATATATATACACACATATATATATATATATATATATATATATATATATATATATATATATATATATATATATATATATATATATATATATATAGTAAATGAAGGAATGCATTGTAGTTAAGAGATCACATTGTATGAAATTTTCATACCACTCATCCATATCGATCTATGTCATCAAGCACGTTGATGTGGTGGTCGTCAGAATTCCGTCACGTTATACGTTAGTGACGACAACCGCGATGGTCCCATTATTGATGTATGAGGTGTACCGGATTGTAAAATTGAAATCTAAAGATAAATAGCATTCGGATGCAGACATAAAGAATTGTGATATAATTATTAAGAAGTATTGGGCAAGTCGAAGATTGTTGGAATATTTTAATAATTTAATATTCCAATAATTATGTGGCCACATATATTTATTTAATTATATTAGCTATTTTAAAAAATAAAATGCCTAAAATAATTAAGTGATCAAATAACGTTAAAAGGTTATTTAAATTTCATTTAGAAATTATTTAATTAAATATTTTATATGAGTTCAAATATGAGTGAATGTCAGACTATCCATTTGAGAATAATGGAAACTCAAATTGGCCGCATATATATATATATATATATATATATATATATATATATATATATATATATATATATATATATATATATATATATATATATATATATATATATATATATATATATATATATATATATATATATATATATATATATATATATATATATATATATATATATATATATATATATATATATATATATATATATATATATATATATATACGCGCTATGGTCTCCAATATTCTGTACATAAGCAAATTATCTCTTCTTCCCATCTGAAGAGAGTTTGAGGCAAGAAGTACCGGTTGAGGAAGAACCACAAAAACATCAACTTCTGAGTTTTAGGATTACCGTCAAAGGGATTTTTCTCAATGTATCCAGGTATTCTAAAATCAATTTATCAGCTCTTTAATTTTGTACATGCTTGATTTCCGTACCTAAATTATGTATTATAATTTATTGAGCATGTATATTTTGATTAATCGTTATTAATCTAGTTTCAAAATTCGATGCCTTGGAAACAAATTATAAATTGTTTCTTTATGATAAAGAAACACGTAACAAAAAAAGAACAACAAGGATTGGTTATAACTGTTATTATTTACTTTCTCTTTAAATCAGATTACAAGTACTCAAAAATAACAAATAACTCTCTCATCCTAATTAGGATTTTCCAAATTTAAGATGAGAGACTAATATGCTATTTATAATTAAACCTAACATACTAAAATAATGGGCTTTTTAACAATTATTCATTACAAACTAACTTATGATACAATCTAACTTAAACAATTGGACATAACAAACAAGCTCAATTTGTCATGCTAACAAATCTAACATTTTCGACAACTGCATGTTTGACTTGACTTCGACTACAACATACACTACTTCGACAACAACATGTGAGTGGTCTTCGGCTGCATGCTAAACATCTATCGAACTATCGAATTAAGAAGCTACCTTCAATCATACTAGTGTTTGACCTAATATATATATATATATATATATATATATATATATATATATATATATATATATATATATATATATATATATATATATATATATATATATATATATATATATATATATATATATATATATATATATATATATATATATATATATATATATATATATATATATATATATATATAGTGAAGTAATACATTAGGTTACATATAATTAAAAAAATGTATGAAAATAAAATTTTATATGTTTATAAAAATATCTAATTAGCCTTTGAGTTGATTTTAAGTATAGCAATTCCAAGCGCTGCACATGCATTGTTAATTTTGTGAATAGTGGTCAATGTAGTGAGAAACAAGCATGATTATAATTTTCCATTTCTTTCTTTCATCTTCACCATCCAATTATTTTCATATACTAAATATTTTTGATTAATTATCATACCCTTCAAAATAATTATCATATCCTTTACAAATGTGCTTGTATATCACATGAAATAAAACATTTGCATGTGCAACTACATGTTAGATTGAATAACCTAATTAAAAGATTATTTAATAAATTATTCCAACAAGTTTAATTAAGTATTTATCTATAATTTACTTTCAACATTAATTACAATTTTACCTAAATTACGAAATTAATCTTCTAATTTAAAATTTATACAGTTTTGTCTCTCTCACTTTTTTTTATTATAAAAAATTGATGAAAATTTTATTTTTTAACTTATATTTTTATTTATAAATGTCAACAATATATTTAAATAAAATGACTTATCACGAGTTTAATAAAAAAATTGTCATTTAAAAATATAACACACTTGATTTTAAGTGCAAAAATAAAAGAGATAGAATAAAACTGTTTAAATTTAAAATTAAAATATTAAAGTTGTGAATCAAATAAAATGAGATGACCAAAACTATAATTAAGTCAATAATTTATAAACTACTTTTATTTTTGAACGTCCATAACTCCCAAAGTTTTGTAGACTATTCAGAACAATCTAACCGTTGATTGCGATCTATGTCTCACTCCACCCTTTTTTGTTAATAACCAATTTTATCTTTTAAGAGAAAAATACACCATTCTAAAATATTCAATTTAATTCTCACTCTCCTATTATTTTTTTCTCTTATTAACTTCAGAGCGGTAACCTAACAGATTAATATACTCTACACTATATCAAACATTCAAGTTTACTATAGTAAACTCTACTTCATCGTTGATCGACCAATTCCATTTCCACCACAAAAGAATAACAACATTTATATAATAGGTTTAATAAATATTTTAGTCTTTTAATTAAATTTAATGTTTCACTTTAATCACTTAACTAAAAGAATGTTACAAGTTAGTTCTTTAATTTCATTTCTGTTATCCTATTTAATTAATTCTGTCAATTTCTAACAAAAAAATAAAGTTAAATTATGATGACATGGTGTGACAACAAGACCATTAATACAAATATGAGTTAATATATGTAGTTAAATGCCGACACTCTATTTAAATTGTGGAGGTTCCCTCGAAAACAAAACCCCCGCAATTTAAAAGAAGAGACTAAATAAAATTACAGATGTTAAAGGAAGTGTTAATTCAGATTTGTACCAATAACTTTGATGACATGTCATGTCACAACCTTTTTTATAATAAAAATTAAAGGAAGAGACTAAATAAAATTACAGATGTTAAAAAATAAAAATTAAAAATTAAATTAAATTAAAAGACTTAATAACTAATTATACCTGCATAATACTATAATCAAATAGTTAAGTATTATAAATAAAACTTGCATAAATTATAAATAAAATCTTCTAAATTCCAACCATACATACCTAACTAACCAGGACCATTCAAAAAATAAAGCAACTTAATTAATAATTCTGTATTTACAACATATATCAAAATAGTATTTAGAGTAAAAGCAACACAATCTTGTCATTATCAATAGAATTTCAGATGTTAATCTCAATCAATAGTTCCAAATCACAATTAATTAGTTCTATCACTTTCTTAACATGCAATGCTAGTACTACACTTTCTGACCTGTTATATTTTGTCAGTCATTACCATATATTTTTAATATAAAAAAACAAATAAAAGAAGAACAAAATGTCACGGACTATAAACTTATATTTTGTCATTTTTTTCAAACATGTTTTTGTTTTGTTTCATTATTCACTTTATAAGCTACACAAAACCATGACATAAACTCACAAGTCTTGTTCAGAAAAATAAGTGTAGATAAGGAAATTTTGTGGAATCTTAATATCTTATCCTTGGCTTATAAAAAGCATTGTTTTTTTTTCTTCATAACTTCAAATTTTGTTGAACTTTTCATCTGAACTAGTGACATGGATGTGAAGTTCAAGTCTGTTTCTGAAGGTGAACATGAAGAGGAAGAAGAAAACATGCACTTTCTGAAATCTCTTCAGGTTTATAAATATATATCTATTTTGTTGTGTGTTTTGATATTTTATAGTTTTTTTTTTTCATTTTCAGTGAAGTTTTATATTTTGGTTTTTCTTAGGAGTTAAGAGAATTGAGGTCTCAGCTTCATTATGCTGCTGATTATTGTGAAACAACATTCAAGGAAAGTGAAAAGAAAAAAGAGTGAGTAATTTAAACTTCTATTTGCAACTACCAACTTAGTTGTTTTAAGAGAATAAATTTTTTTTTACCAACTTTTATTTATTTATTGCAACTTTAGTGTAAAAGTAAATTTGTTTTTGTTTGTTAGTATTTGGATATATATTGACCCGTGACATATTGGAATTTGTACATTTAATTGTAAGTGTGATGGAAAATACAAAAGAATACATATGTAGAGCTATGGTGACTGTGGTTGATCATCTTGGAAATGTTTCCTCCAATCTTGAAGGACTTATTTCTCACACAAATTCATTTTCTGATGCTGACATCAAAATTCAATGTCTCAAACAAGTTAGTACTATTAATCACTTAATATCAACTTATTTTAGATTAAACGAGTAATCAGTATTCAACATGTGTCAGTGTTCTGATGAAAATATTTTTTGGCAGAGACTTTTCTCATGTGAACAATATGCTGATAAAGTCTCCCTCTCAAATATGCAATGGAGGGAGAGATTGCCAAGATTTCATACAAGATATTTATCATCATGTAATATTTTTCATATAATCTTTTGATAGATACAACTTTTTTTTATTATAAATCAATTATATCTTAACTGCTTTTCTTGATCAGCTCCTATCCTTGAGAGATCACAAGAGAATTTGAAGCCAGCCATTGCTACAAACAACAAGCACAACAATTTGGCCTTTGGTAACAAAACATTTCATGTTCTTATCAAAATAACATTATTGGCATGTTCTTCTACATAGATTTTCTTAATGTTTTCCTTTCCGTGTTGAAAACTATACTAGTGATGCCTGTTCGCGACGGTTTGAAAGTGTTGGCGAAAGTATCGAATCCTACATTTCATTTCCAAGTGAGTTTTTCTTATGAATTGTTTCACTTTCTTGATTCATATGCTGCATAATGAATTGGTTTCTCTTCTAGTATTGGATTTGTAAGTTTAACGGCTTAATTATTTCTATAGGCTACTCCAAAGGTTGGGCCGCGCCATAGAAGATCGTTGCACGGAAGCGATATCTTATGGCTCATTAGGCGCACGAAACATTCGCATTGAGAAAATTGAGTTTAATTGCTTATCATTTATATGTTACGATTTATTGTTAATTGTATGATTAATAAAATATCGGTACGTTCAAACTCTAACTGCAACAATTTTTTACCAGACATTACTAATCTGGCGGCAAAATTTTAAAATGTTTAACATTGATGTTTAGCATAAGTACTATATGAATCTTTCACTATTTTGAAGAAATAAAAGAATTTACAACAAGTATAGAAATTACAATAACCTAATTAAAGTATGATTTACATAGTGGGTTATGCTAAGAAGAAATGTACACAAGAATTTCTACTAAATTTACATTGAACTTTTATAATCCGAGTTAAAATTCGACTCTTCCCTTTCTTGTTAACCGATATTAATGTCGCGCGAGAGGACTTCTTATAGCATTCAAACACTCGAGCTTATCCAAGTAGTAGTTTTTCTTTGGTGTTCTGACTTTCGGTGATTTTGTAAAAGCCTTTTCGTCTTTTTCTTTCAAGTCTTCTAAGTCGTTCGCCGAGTTAGTCCTTTTCAAATCACTTCCGACTTTGTTTGAATTCCATCCCATGAAATCGGAGAGAGTCATTGAAGGCGGCGTGTCTGAAGAATTCAAGCTTCCTGATCCTCCCTCGGAGTTTGGAGATGTTTGTTCAGACACCGGCGAAGAATCCAATGAGAATGTCGGTCCGGATGACGCCAATGACGGATTCTTTGTCAATGAATCTACGTATAACACATCCTCGATCCTCGATAAAACTGTATAAGCCAAACTTTCTATTACTCTTGAATAGCTCTCTAGAATCGCTTGTCCAACATCCTGCGATCAATTCGGAAGAAATCAAATTTTATTAGTAAAATGTAAATCATATACGAAAAAAGCAAATTCAAACGTGACAAAATTTGATCACGAAGTTCAATCAATTGTGCTTAACGATATATAATACTATGATCCATAGGACTGATGTTGTTGTCAGATTAAACAATCTGCCCTATGAATCATTCACATATCTATTAGTCTGTATTTGATTATGCTACGACGATATTTGATTTTTTATAATTAATTTAATGAAAAGTGATTTGTTATATCACCTTGTTGTATTGAATTTTGCTGATATCAAGTGAAGATTGCGGAAGACCCGGAAACTGATGTTTGATCATGAGCAATATCGTTTCTGCTCTCTCCTCGAAGAGTTCTCTCTTCTCCATACTTATCGTGGAACTCCATGAAGATTTTCCATCTTTGTTCATCTTCCTTTTCCATATAACTATGGAGGCTTCAATCCTATTCTTGAGGTCTAGAACTTTGTGTTCCGTAGACATGTCCATGGTCGATAGGAACTGTCCCGGATCAAAGTATTCGACAGTTATGCTCTTGTAGATTGATTCACCGAGACTTTCTCTACCATTCTGACAAAAACGCGAAGAAAAATTCATTGTCACTGCTCGCAAGTGTTTGTGTCAGTAGATAAGTTCAAATAAGCCGAATCCAGACAGAAGCTTAATTATGTTACCTTTGGGAGAGACTCGATGTAGTTATCTGGTATTTCCATTTCAGATAGAACTTGAGCGTTTATCGCCATGGCTGCTTTAAGCACTTGGTTAACATTATCTTTTTGAAACTGTATCCTTTTAATAGCTATATCTGATAAACCGGTTGGCGGAACTTTAACAACCGGTAACCACCATTTGTCGCTTTTTCTTTGATTGACAGTGTTACCGTCAGCTTCTTCGTCGTTTTTAGAGACATACCAGAATTCATTTTGATCTTTAAAGTTGTCTAAAATGTCCTATAATTACAGCGTCATTAGGTTAGTTAGTCAAAAGTTGGTTAGATAAAGTCGTTTTAATAGTGAGTCAGAAAATAGCACGTTTGGATTGACTTATTTAAGTTTTTCTTCTGGCATTAGGACTTATCTAATAAGTTCGTGTGCTATAAGTCGAAATTAGGTTGTTTATCGAAATAGATGTAGTTACTTACAATGAGCATTGCATCGAGTTTGCGCAAAGCGGGAATGTTCATGAGCAGGTCACTTCTTTGTCGCGTCGTCATAATCTACATAATATCATATGTTACTTTTGTGTGACAAAATTATCTTTAAAAAAATTTCTAGTTTCTAAAATTTTACCTCCATTGTTGATCCATCCTTAGCCAACTGTTGTGATGGAGCAAACTCAACAATGTGATCAGTCACAGATAAAAGCCATTCAATTTCTTTTCTCCACCTAACTTTCCTATCATGCGACATCGGTTCCAGCTTCGATTGCTCTCCAAAAACTGATGCTACATAAAATCATGAAAGAAGTTCATAAGAGCATAAGTTCGAATCATAACCGAAACAATCTCGAGGGGGTAAAAAAAGTAAATATACCAGCGAGATTCGTTATGGCATTCGACAAAGCCAATGCCGATGAAACACCATTTCCAGCACCAGACATGTCTTCTCCAAGAAGCAACTTAGCAAATCTTTCCTTCATCAATTCAGTTTCTAAAAAAAAAAAAGTGCCAAAAATGAAAATTATCATATTTACAAGGGCTAAAAACAAAAATTTGAAAAAAATATTTATATACCAGTTAGTGGCTTAGGAGGCATTTTTGGTGCATCTGGATGAACATGATCATTATTCATAGAAAAACCAACTGGATGAACTTCTAATGAATTATCATTTAGTCTCGATTCGAGACTTTTCGAATAAACTTTATGATCAGAATAATGGTGATGATCATTTCCTTCGTCATGATCCTTATCAAAGAAACCATGAATATGTTTTCCAGGAATTTCAAACATTTTTCTAAAATGAAAAGACTTTGATTTCTGCATGCTTCTTTGATGATTAAAAGCCCTAACCATTGTTAATTAAAGAAAACCTTGTTTTAATTTCCACCTTTGTTTTTTTTAATATAAAAAAAACAAAGGGTTAGAAATTTTTTGAATATTCAACAAATTTTGATCTTAAAACTTAATAGCAAAATTTTGTGTTATGTTGTTTCTTGTAGTTGAAGTTATTAACCCTTGTTCAATCTAATGTGATCTTAATGAATGTGACACAAAAAAATCATAATGTAAAATGAATTTTTGGGATGGTTTTGATGATGAGAAAATTATTGTTGAGTTTGTTTTATGAATGAGTGGATGATAGGAAAAATGTTACATTTTTCTAACTATAGTAGTTGTTAGTATTCCTTAATTTTTCTACCATTCTTTTGTACAAAATTTTAAAACGGATTTTGGAAGAAAATAGAAGAACAATTAATTAGTTGATGGATGAAAAAAAAAAGGAATATGCATAATTATGTTTTGTAAATTTCAAATGAAATTTGGATTAATTTCAGGATAGCCATAAAAAAAAGCTCGCTATAATTAGAAGGGTTTATTTCTTATCCTCTTGATTATATATATATATATATATATATATATATATATATATATATATATATATATATATATATATATATATATATATATATATATATATATATATATATATATATATATATATATATATATATATATATATATATATATATATATATATATATATATATATATATATATATATATATATATATATATATATATATATATATATGTGTGTGTGTGTGTGTGTGTGTGTGTGTGTGTAAAATATTCAAATGAGATTTTTGTAACATTTTATGAGTTTTATTTTGAAGAAACTATAATTTTTTAAATTTTTTTATAGAATAAAATTGATCAAATTTTTTCTTCCAATTATTCAAATGATGATTTCATAAGAAATCTACATTCTAAACTTGCTTATGTGAAAAAATCTAATTAAAGAAAGAATTATATTCTAATATTATATTGTGGCTTAACTATTAGCACCCCCCTTTTTTAACAAACCAATGTTTTTTGGATAACAAAAGTTGTCTATAAATATATTTTTAAAAATTCATATTTTCAATAACATTCTAAGGTATAGAGACATCATGACTGACATGGAAGATTGGGACGGTATGAAGGTGAAGTACTTCGTTGGTAAAGTCTACCACTACCTCAAAATGGATGAACCTGATGTGGTTTGGAACCACATGTTCTCTACTACTATTGCTAGACCAAGAGCTCTTTTCACTCTTTGGATGACATGTCACCGTAGGTTGGCGACAAAGGAGCGGCTCAAAAAATTTGGAATTACTACGGATGACAAATGTAATTTCTGCAACAACGAAGAAACGATTGACCATCTGTTTTTTCAATGTCCCCTGTTTCAAAGTTGTTGGCAGGATATTCTGAGGTGGATGGGAATTCATCGCACCCTCTGTGATTGGCGTGAAGAGCTGAACTGGATTATTCATCAGTGCAAAGGTAAGGGTTGGCGGAAATGCCTCCTGCGTAGCGCCATTGTGGAGACTGTCTACGAAATCTGGAAGTATCGTAACCACACCGTTTTTGGAAATACAGTGCAAACCATGGAGATTAGAGATATAGTTATCTCTACCCTTGCTAACAGAGGATGGGTTCATACTAGTATTAGACGTCATATAGCTAACCTTCTCATAGATTAATGAGATTTTTCTGATTGTTTTGTGGGTGGGTTTTATACTTATACCCTTGTATATTCTATCTTTTGAAGTTATATAAAATTCCTTTATTCTAAAAAATAAATAAATAAATAAACCCCTATATTTTAGGGGTTGCTCTCCTCATCCTTAGTGGTTAAGAGTCATCTTGTAAAAATTTAAGATTGTCCTTCAATAATTCATAAGTATATTTCTGCATGCACTCCATATACACTACATATCTTTGTAAATGAACTGCACCCTTATTTGTCATAAATTAATACGAAGATGCATCTCTAGAAAAGTTACGGATATATACTTCCGTAATCACATTTTAGGCAATAAAATTTGATATTTTTGGAGAAATACACTGATATAATAGGTCATTTATAATAAGTATACTATTATAATAAATTTGTTATCGATTAAACCATACACGGATGTGATAAAATTAAAATGCTATATATTAGAATCAATCTAAGATCCATAATACTATCAAAATGACAAATTACAAATCATAATATTATTCATAATCTATAATACAAATACTACTAGGTATATCTGACCCTCTTTTTCCTTCCCTTCCTCTTGTACTAGAATGTCGTTTGTGCCTCAGATAGAATGACATCTATAGCGACCCTCCCAAAAGTTCCTTTCAGAAAGTTTCTTCTCTCTATACTCGCTTGCACAATGGCCTTTATACGACGACATGCAGGTAGCACATGGATGACATGATCTGCCTTAGTCAGCTCCCCCTTCAATATCTCCTAATGAGATAACTTAGGTGGATGTACATGAGCAACTAGTATCATGTAAGAATGTGACACTCTGAAATACCATTGAATGTAGCGGAATGAACTACTCCGTTGGCGAGGAGCTGCCACACTTCGTGTTTCATTTAGTACCAGCTAATTATAGAAATTATCATACACGACATCTACATCTTTGTGGACCATAGCGAAAGGAGCATACACATATGGGTCTCTTAGAGTAACCCATAGATATCTAAACTGACTCATGACTCGCTCGGGAATATGTGGATACATCAAACATAAGCCACAATAAAACTAATTAGAGTAAAAGGTTATGTCATCCAAGGGACGCATCTGACGATGGTCGTCATACGATGTGTAACTTATATCATTTGATGCAGTGCAGTCAAGAAACACTCTAAAAGGATCGGTCCCCCGATTCCCTTTGAACGGGATGAATGCACAAGCATGTGGCTGAACCTCAACGTAGTCATTAATGTATGACCAGTCGTAGATGCATGGAAAGTGTTGGAAGATCCATGCCTAAAAATGGTATATATGAAATATTAGTAATGGTGTAACACATGCGTTATGAAAATGGTACGGTAACAATAAAGGTGAAAATATATTATTGTAAATAGTGTGTATCTTGTTATCATCTACCTAGTCTTCCAAAGACAACATTCAATTAATCGCGTATAGGTAAACCAAACAAGTGGCCCATAATTGTACTCATGAATCTCGTCGAAGCTAATGAAGTATATAAGGTAAACCACATTTATGTAATAATCACTTTTGCCAATAAATATGGTCTTGTTAACCAAATACATGAGGTGTGACCTTAATGAACATGTTCTATAATGCATAACATGTGCATCATCACTATCAGTCTCTACCAGAGAAGCTAGGTGATGTATATGTGGGTTCTCCAGAAATGAAAATCTAACATGACACCTTCTAGTATTTTCCAGCTCCTTTAGGGCATCACCTGAGTCAACTTTTAAGTAGGTCACCATTATCTTCAGTGCATCAAGTCTGATCATTTTGGAGTGGTCTAATGATTTTCCCTTAATCGGAAGATGTAGAAGGGATGACACGTCATCCAATATGATGGACATCTCACCATGTGGAAGATGAAAATATGATGTTTCTGAGTTCTATCTCTCAATGAAAGTTGACAATGTAACACCTGAGGCCGAAAAGGGAGAAAAGTGGTTACATGTATCACCCGAGGGTGATGGAGTGGTTGTCGTTACACGAGGCATGACAATGAGACACTCATAGCATCTTGGTGAGGGAGTGGTTGCCGGTGCACAAAGTATGACAATGAGACACTTCTAACAGCTTCTAGGAAAAAACTGAATTCACATCGGAATGAGAGGGATCCTGAGGTTGTGCAAGTATGGGACTGTATGGTTGAAGAAAGACTTATAAGGATTAATTGGTATTACCTATACCAATAAGATGCATCTTCTTTTCCGTAGCTCGTTCCATAAGAACTCCACAGTTAAGCGTGCTTGACTTGGAGAAATCTTAGGATGAGTGACCTTCTGGGAAGTTTCTCGGAAAGCATGTGAGTGAGGAAAAAGCATGCTGAAAAGACTCGTGTTAAACCATGCGGAAGCTGGTGGACATGTAACACATGAGGCCGAAGAGGGAGGAAAGTGGTTACATGTATCACCCGAGGGCAAAGGAGTGGTTTTCATTGCACGAGGCATGAAAATGAGAAACTCATAGAAGCTTGGTGAAAGAGTGGTTGTCGGTGCACAAGTTATGACAATGAGACACTTCTAGCAGCTTCTAGGGAAAAACCGAATTCACATCGGAATGAGAGGGATCCTGAGGCTGTGCAAGCATGGGACTGAATGGTTGAAGAAATGGTTATAAGGATTAATTGGTACTACCTATACCAACAAGATACATCTTCTTTTTGGTAGCCCGTCCCATAAGAACTCCGCAGTTAAGCGTGCTTGACTTGGAGAAATATTAGGATGAGTGACCTTCTGGGAAGTTTCCCGGAAAGCATGTGAGTGAGGAAAAAGCATGCTGAAAAGACCCATGTTAGTTTGTAAGGTCAGTCGGTAATCTTGAAAGCAGACTGGGGCGTTACAAATGGTATCAGAGTCAGGCCTCTTCCAGTATGATGTGGTTCGGGAACGAACCAAGCAGAAGTTGGTGGACATGTAACACCTGAGGTCGAAGAGGGAGGAATATTGTTACATGTATCACCCGAGGGCGAGAGAGTGGTTGATGTTGCACAAGGTATGACAATGAGACACTTCTAGCAGCTTCTAAGGACTAAACCGAATTCATATCGGAATAAGAGGGATCCTGAGGCTGTGCAAGTATGGGAATGTATGATTGAAGAAAGGCTTATAAGGATTAATTGGTACTAACAAGATGCATTTTCTTTTCGGTAGCCCGATCCATAAGAACTCCACAGTTAAGCGTGCTTGACTTGGAGAAATCTTAGGATGAGTGACCTTCTGGGAAGTTTCCCCGAAAGCATGTGAGTGAGGAAAAAACATGCTGAAAAGACCCGTGTTGGTTTGTGGGGTCAATCAGTAATCTTGAAAGTAGACTGGAGCGTTACAGACAACATCCATGGTTAATGATAGTATAACCAATCATGCATAAATCTTACAGCCTAGATAACTTAATGGCATTATGAAACCATTGCTCCCCAGGTTGTTGTTGCCTCACACTCTTGCTACCGGGGTTTATGCATTTTAAAACATCACAATACTGCAAAAAATACATCATCATCACAAAGTTTGAATACTATAACACATGTGTTTCAAAGAACAAATACATATAAATTTACCTCTATGTCACACAAGTGCATAACAACATGGTTTGCATACAGAGGCAATAGTGAAGTGTCATAGGGACCTCCTCCAAATTCTTAAATAATGACAACATCGACAGCAGGTGCATCAACATGAACTGGAGGGGCTTCCGGGATAATAGTAGGTGACACTTGCCTCTAGGAAGACGAAGTTGGAAACACCTGAACTCTAGAAGTTGACGCATCCGCATCAAACAAACTTGAACTAACTTATGGTCACGAGGGTCAAGCTCTCTCCCTGCGAACAAATGTATGTTATGAAACTTTATCTTGCCTCAATCGTTCTTGGTTTTCAACCATTTAACATGCAATTAAATTAGACAAAGACAAAGCAGGAAAAAATCATACTTAGATGAAAGACGTCAAAATCGAACAATGTAGACACAATACGGAAGTGCACTTCCGTATTTTTGTAAAATCAAATTAAGACAAAATACAACAATGCATTTCTGTAGTTTTCTAAAACACAGAAAACACAAAAATGGTAAAAAAAAACAGAAAAAATGAAAGTGACTCAATCATCTACCTAACAATAAGTGTAACTACATATATAGAAATGTTTCTTAAACAACATAATGTACCTATTTCATAATGCATGAAGAGAAAGTTAAAAAGAAAATAAATAAAAAAAGAGTGATATAAATGAAATTTTTTACCAAATATGTAATTGAAGTTGAAGCACTTAGTTGAATTGATCTTGAGAAGTAATTGGTATCCACTTGGTTTGAATGAAGTACAGAAACCACATGAATTGATAAAGCACTTCGGGGTATTAGAGAAGCTTGAGAAAGTTGAGTACTTAATATGTTTTTGATGTAAATGAAGAAATGGGTAGGTCTGACTCGTATTAGATCAGAAATTTATCCATAGGTATATTTACGTATTTTACATGGAGTTGTATCTCTGTATTAATTTTTTGCAAAAATAATAGTGATCTTCACTTACGAATTTACGAATGGACTGAGTGTGGATAGATACGTCCAAAAAAGTATCTCTGAATTAAAATGTCATTTTGTTTATTACAAAGGTGTTAGAGTACCTCTAAGGGTGCCAAAAGTAACCCCTATTTTAAGGGAGTGGGTTCTCAACAAATAAAATAAAATAGAGTATTAAAAAACTACTATTTTGTTGGACTTTTTTGGTTGTCAAAAAGGCCTCAAGCTTTTAATGTTGTGCTTTAACTTATTGAATTTGGGCCAAATTTTCCAGTATGTAAGCAAATTGTTAACCAAACCCCACCACACAAAAAAAGAAGTGGCATTGTTCATATATCTACAATTTAGCATTACCATAACGACTAGTTTAGAGTAGCTATTATAAATATATATTTTTAAAAATTGAATATTTCCTACACACAATTTGAGTTGAAAAAGACCACAGCACAACACTCTCTTAAGATAGTGAGA